CAGTAGATGAGCATTTTGATGGTAGCCCGTATATGAAGTGCAATAAGCTCAAATGGCCTTGCCTTTTCTGTCTTCACAGATGGATATGCATCTCGCTGTATGTGTAATCGACATTCAGTTAGAGTTATCTTTACAGAGTGCTACTCCATCAATAAGTGCTTCATTAGCCATTTGGACCACCTCTGCTCCTAAGGCAGGAGTAATAATTACAGCCGCGGCTCTGCTTGCAGCCATCGCAGTAGATAAATCAATCTTTAAATGGTTAACCCAGCCGAGGCATAAGGAGAGGAGCTGCGCTCACACTTGGCTCACAAAACTGCTCTTAATTCGCTGTTGCCGTGCCTACAGTTACCGTGGAGATGGACACTGGCACGAGGGTGCAAATGTGTGTTTCAGTCCTGATGCAACCTTCCCCGCATAACATTAGCAAATGTTCTTATTTAGGTGATCATTATTTACAGTTTCAGCGTCACCTCCAGGCAGTGAATCTTTAACAGTGGTTCGATTGGATTCTCATGATGACCCAGTGGTTGGCAGTTCAATTCAAGAGCAGTTTTGGTTTTGTTTAGGACTTTTGAATTAGATTTAGCTTAATTTGTTGATTCAGAAACTTCTCTAACCAAAATACACATTCAAAATAAATGGCCCACTTACTATGTTTGTGTGAACGTATGTACTGTAAAGAATCATAATTAATAATAATAATAATAATTTTGTCACTTTTTACCTTAGAACTAAACAAGCTATTTTTGTTATTGTTACTTTACATATATCAATACATGTAAATGACCTCTGTTCTTCAAAATTAGATGGTTTTGCAGCTAGTTTATAGACTGAGGGGTGAATTGTATGTTTTGAAACAGTGAGTGCATTTACATGCATTTAATAATCCAATAAGTGCAGAAAATCAGATTTTATCAGTAATCCGATCAATGCGTTTACATGCATTTGAATAATCAGATAATGGGGAAACTCCACATCTACATGAGTCAGACAGTAATTGGATTTCTGCTTTGCAACTGACCAATAAACTCACAGACGAATACGTGACGTAAACATAATGTAAAATTCAAACTTCATGCCACGTTTTTTTTTTTTAAACTTCACACCACTTTACCTGAAAATATGAACAGACATTATCTAGAAGATGAATAAATTGTTTAAATCCTTAATTTCATCAAGCATGTAGCTGGTTTTCATTCCAAAAGTGTTTTGCTGACATCTTGCAGCAACACCGCTTGCTTATTTCCAGTGCTGTGTTCTGTTTTTGCCCATGCGCAGACTGAGAAATACAAAAGAAATCAGAGTAAGAGTTCACATGCACTGAGAAATATGATTACTGAGCTAAAGTCCAGTTCTGTTTATCTGATTTCTTAATCAGATTTTTCGACCTTACCCGATCTAAGAAATCAGATTTTGCTGTTTGCATGGCCATTTGAATAATCCAATAACTGTAGAAACCCAATTATAATCAGATTATTGAGTGCACGTAAATGCACTCAATGCTTACTAGTACATCCAAAGATTAATTTAAAAAGCAAGGAAATGTAAGTTTTCCATCGGGCTTGTATTAAAAGAAATGTAGAAACTACAGCCTATATCATCTGAAAGCAGTAAAGTATGTTTTTAAACCTACTGAATTATTTTCAGGCCTATTCATGAAAGATACTACTAGCTGGATTTGCATATGTATATGTTACCATTAATTAAAGCTACACTATGCAACTTTTGGAAATTTGGCCTCTCTGGTTAAAAAAATGTATAATTGCATGCAACATGTGGAAGAACATTTTGTGACGTGGGTTGTGTTCTTACCCCTTTCCTGAGCAGATGAATCTGATGATTGTGGGAACATTGAAAGAGTACTCAGAGTACCCAGTCCAAACTTGGTGGATGACTTGTCTTTTGGGGGTATGATTGAATTATATACTATTGTCATCATATCTTCATTCAGTATGATGTTGGTTTTGCGTTTGCGGCATCGAGCTCGACCTTATTTTTGAGCTTGTGCGTGTGATGGAAATACACAAAGACATATGATGTGGTTCAAAAACTCCAATGAAATGTTACCTGATACCTCTCCCTTTTAAATTACTATTGTAGGCTTAACAGGGTGACTTGCAGCAGCGCACGCACACCATATTTTAGCATGTTTGCTAAAATGCTACATCTTTTCATTTTAACGCAAAAAGCTTATCAGCAAAAAACCAATATCATATTTGTAAAACATTAAGGTGGCATAGTAGCAGCCTTACCACCTGGATCAAGTGTGGTAGCATCAAGGCTATGTCGTGTACAGTACATTGTAATGAAGGCCGGCTAGAATGATTTAAGTGTTGAAAATATCTTTCCTGCTCTCTTTGTCATGAAAACCATGATTTAATTGGACTCGATGCAAGTGCTGATGCAAGCCAACACAAGCGTGACCCAATACGATCGCAATTAGAGGATGGATGTTGCTGAGCTGGCAGGAACAGCGATCGACGCATCGATTCGACGAATGCATCGTTATGCCTCTAATCACCGCAGATATGACAGAGCCATATTTGCCGTTGCGCAGAGTAAACAGTAAACACTGTCGCGGTTGGAGGAGTTTTGATTGGAGCCCCTTCCACCCCCTGCGAAGCTGAACACCTGGAGCCTGCACTTCATTTGCACTAATGAAAGCTAATGCACTCAATTAGCGGAGTACACATTAGCAATCTGGGCCGCTCTGCTAGCAAGGCAGCGTACCTATTCTTCATCTTCCTGCCTCAGACAAGTGCCCAGAGGCATCCGCACTACAATATTAACACACAGCCTCCTGCTGTGTAGAGGAAGCAGGATGGCTGTTTCAGCCAATTGTTTGCAAAAGCGGCTAGCTGTATGCTACTCACTTCTCTCTCCCTGTCTCTTTCTCTCATTTTCTCTCTTATACTTCCTCACGGTACACTGCACACTCTCTCTGGAGACTCCCCTCTCTATGTATGTGTTCTTCCCTGTATCTTTCTGTACCCCCTCCCTCAGGAGGACCTACTTACCTTGTTAGCCTTTTAGGCTAATTTCTCTTCCTTTCTCTCTGTCTCGTTCTCTCATTTTATCCTTTCCTTCTTTGTGGTAGACTTTCTTTCTTTAGATTTCCTTCTCAATCACTGAGCATCTTTCTATCTGTTTTACCCTTTCCCTCATGAGAGTTCATTTACCTTATTAGCCTTTTAGGCTAATTTCTCTTTTTCTCTCTTTCTCATTCCCTCATTTTATCATGTTCTTCCTCATGGTAGACTCTCTTTCTTTAGATAACCTTCTCTATCTCTATGCATATTTCTCTGTATCTGTCTTTACCCCCTCCCTCAGGAGGACCTACTTACCTGTTAGCCTTTTAGGCTAATTTCTCTTTCTCTCTCTCTCTCTGTCTCGTTCTCTCATTTTCTGTCTTATTTCTTCATGGTAGACTCTCTTTCTGCCGCTTCCGCTCTTGATCACTATGCGTATTTCTTTATATCTGGCTTTACCCCCTCCCTCATGAGAGCCCATTTACCTTATTAGCCGTTCAGGCTAATTTCTCTTTCTCTCTCTTTCTGTCTCGTTCTCTCATTTTATCCCTTCCTTCCTCATGGTAGACTCTCTTTCTGTAGATTCCCTTCTCAATCACTGCGTGTATTTCTCTGTTTCTGTTTTACCCCCTTACTTGAGAGCCCATTTAACCTGTTAACCTTTAAGGCTAACTTTCTCTTTTTCTCTTTCTGTCTCGTTCTTTCATTTTCTCTCTTACTTCTTCATGGTAGACTCTCTTTCAATAGATAACCTTCTCGATCTCTATGCATATTTCTCTGTATCTGTTTTAACCCCCTCCCCCAGGAGAGCCCATTTACCTTGTTAGCCTTTTAGGCTAATTAGCAGGAACAGTTAATAGTGCTTCCCTCAAGCGCCGCTTCAGCATTTTTCCTCCTGAGTTGGTGTCGCCCAATCAATAGCCAAGCAGGCGTGAGGCAGCAGCACTCCATAAAAAGTGTTTTCCCTTGAAGGCAAATGAGCGGGAAGAAAAGCTAGCATTTTGACACGCTAACATATTTTTTTCTCTTCCATCTGTCTTATTTATGTCTCTTTAAACTTCTTCAGCAAGCTTTTTTATATCTCTGATTTTTTTAATGTTTCAAAATGCCCTGAGATAGAATGGGGGAGAAAAAAATCAAATCAGAAATCCGAGGCCTTCTCGCAGGATTCTCTTGTTTGCTTACTCCGGCCCTTATTTTTTTCTGTTTTGATTTAACGATGCAGCAAGGGTACTTAGCATTTAGATGACATGTTTGAGGAGAGGAGCTATAGATCAGGCTTGCTGCGTGCACTGTTTCACAGATAGCACCAGCCTCCCTGGGCAAGGCAGGCGGACGGCTAGAATACCAACCATCCATCCATCCGCTGAGCCCACAGGCACTGCCAAGGCTGCTGTGAACGACAGTGCGCGGAGCCAATCAGCATGGATCCGCTGCCAATAAGTGGCTCCGAGGGTCATTGGCATGCCAACGAGTACAGTCAGTCCAAACAGCTTTATCTTGCCAAGACGCTAAAGCGTTGAGAGAGTGCGGGGATGTTAAAAGTCTTGGACAGGGAAGAGGAAAGTTGGGAGCTTCCTTAAATTCCATACTTATGCATACATTATTGCATATGCAATAATTATATGCATACAGAAGGGAAACTGCAGTAGAACCTCCATCTCACGCCAAGGGAAAAATCGAGTGAACTTACGCAAACTGCGGCACAATAATGACGAGTCTCCGGGTAATATTCGATTTAATTGTAATGTTACTCTGGCTCCAAATGACATGGGGAACATGAGCTTATGGTAGAAGTTCCCCTTGAGAGGTGTAACGTCCAACTGTTGGTTTAATTTTGCCGAAGAAACACAAAGCCTACCAAGTCCCCTCTGTTTAGATTGTCTCATGTAATTTAGAGGGAGATGTTAAATGTTATGTGTTTCTTAATGTTTCCGACTGAAGATTTTTCTCTTTCCTGTGTTTTAGCCGCTGCCAAAGGAGCCATCTTAAAGGACATCAGCTGAAAAGAGGTGAGGACAGCTCTGTCTTGCAACCACACACACAAAGATATCATTGCTGTTGGAACAAAAGCATGAGTCACAAATTTTAGATGAAGAATGGACAAACAAAAAAGGTCCAAAGCCACTTAGCATAAAATCTCTTTGCATTAGCTTATTTTGGAGATACAAGGTTTTGTTCCGACAGCGACGATATATACATTGACTGGTCACTTTATTAGAAACCCCAACCTTTCTGGTGCACAGTTAAAACTGTGTCTCAATCTGTTAGCCATCCTTTATCCCAGGGCCAGATTTCTGCACAGTTTGGTGACTTTTCCTGCTCAAAAGCACCTGATTCAACTCTGCAGTTAGTAACCAGTTTTAGTAGATATGTTGGAGCAGGTAAACCACCAAAGTGTGCTGAAATCCAGTCCTCCCCTTTTCCCACCCCTGCTTTAGCCCTTCATCGCTAGTCAGTTTCTAGCCACAAATATATTTGGTTGTGAAATCTAGGTTTATTAATTTTTTGGATGTGTATTTAATGAAATATCAAGGAGAGATAGTCAAAATCCAATTCAAAACTTTACTGCACTGTCCTGGATAGAGCTATAAAAATGGCACAATATCAGGTTCAGCTCACTTTTTAAATACTTCATTACTTGCCAGGTTGACCTGAATGTTGTTTTGTTGTAGCAAGTCCATAAAGCATTTCACAGCCCATCTTGTCTGTCCAGTTGTATTCTGTACACTTCTGGTGAGTTTTAGCTTGTGTGTTTCGCCATCATAGCTACCAACCAAATAGCTTGCTTAAAGGCAACAACAGGTTTGGAATTTGATGTAGGCCTGTTATCATACTCTCCTACAGAACCTAACCAAACAAGCTGCAGGTCAAATATTATCATATACTGCAAAAAATGGTATCTTGGCAAGTGAAATTATTTTAAATATCTATATCTATTATTCTTGTCTAGATTGTTGTAAGCTTACTATAAAACTATTATTCAACTTATTTATAGCCATTTTTGCTTTTTAAGTAATTTATCAAGTAAAATTTTCTCACTGTATTGGCAATAATTTTACTTATTTTAAGAAATATGCTTGAAACAAGCAAAATTACCTGTCATTATAGAGCGATCATTTTACTTGATATTTTTTTTTTTTAAACAAGTAAGAAACAGCCATAAATAAATAAAACTATCTTGTAGTATTTTTACAATTATCTCAAATTTGATATATATTGATTTGATTTAAGTTGATTTTACCTAGGCCTGGGTTCGATTCCCCAGCCGGACGACCATGGTCCTTTCTGTGTGGAGTTTGCATGTTCTCCATGTGTCTGCGTGGGTTTTCTCCGGCTACTCCAGTTTCCTCCCACTGTCCAAAGACATGTGGTCAGGCCAATTGGACATGCTAAATTGCCCCTAGGTTTGAGTGTGTGTGTAAATGTATATGTCTGTGTGTCTGCCCTGCAATGGACTGGTGACCTTTCCAGGGTGTATCCTGCCTTACATCCACTGACTGCTGAGATAGACTCCAGCTCCCCCCGCGACCCAGAAGGATAAGTGGCTTAGAAGATGCGTCTGTGTGTGTGTGATTTTACTTAGCAAAGATACACTTTTTGCAGTGTATTGACTTTATTTTTCACAGGGCCACTGTATTTTGAGAATGTGGCCAAAATATCAGGTTAAGAAACGGATCATTCATTACTGTTTTTACCTAATCAAGAAGAGAGTCTTCACTCTTTAATTTATTGTTTTATGTCTCTAAAGACTACATTCTGGCGCCTCAGCTTCTTGTTCAAATGTTCTCATCTTGTGCACGCACACTGTATTGGCGGTCACTGTCTGGGGAGGGCAACACAAAACATGGGGAGGGCCATCGTTTTCAAAGGGTGGGAGTAACATGTACTTGCAGCTGGACCAGCTATAAAAACAGAATCAGAGAAGCTCAGATTACACACACAGACAGAGGCAGCGTGACTTCATTCTCTGCTCAGGACATCATTACATTATTATGTCTTTACATAGAAAAGAGTTGTTTGCTGCTATATTAATGTCACCTTTATTATATTGTCTGTTTCCACTTGTCCATAGGTCATTCAAATCATCAAATAAGGTGGATAGAAATGATCGAATATTTTTTTTTCTGTTGTGAAGTAGAATACACATTTGTTACTTAGCCCCATTGATCAGTGGAACCAGGCTGCGCTATCAGAGCTAACTGTTGTATAAAAGGCTTTGACATGACAGCAATGATATATATATATATGTATATTTATCAATCTTTAATTAAAGTTTTGCACAATAAAGAGGAGCCTTCTTCCACTCTCTCCAGACAGCTTACTGACTGTAGTACAAATGAGTAGAAGCAGAAATAAAGTGGAAATCTTATCATTTATCCAGGCAGTTTTGCTCAGACAGGCCTGATTAAGCTGTCTTAGTAAGGACCCACCTGCTCAGCGGGATTAGAGGGCAGCCGTGGGCCACGGCTGCGCCAGGGATCCAGAGATGAAGGGAGGAGATGACCGTTTGGGACGTGACCAGCAGCCCCAAAGCCCTGGGCTGCTTGCCGCCGTAGCGCCTGTGTCTCTGTAGTCGCACCCTTCATCAGCACGGGGAGGAAGGGAATGGGATGCAGCCATATTTAACAAGATATATTCACATGCCAGCTGTTGTTTGTCACCGCTGCTTGCTTCCCTCCACGAGTGTGTGTCGGATGGGAAACAGTGTGGAGCGAGAGAAGAAGGGGGGACGCGAGAACAGAACTCAGCATATGTTTATGCTCAGCCTTGAAGCAATTAGCACCCGTCAGTCAAGGTGCTGCGCAGCCGTCCCTTTTTCTTCTTATTTCATGGATAGATAATTATTGCTGGGGGATATTTTATTAATATTGATTTTAATGTCCTCATTAGGATGCCCTTTATGCATCATGTGTTCAGTTTTATACATCTTCTTTTATAAAAACAAAAATAAGAAATCAAAATTGATTCCTGCATAAATAACAGTTCAAACAAACAAATCCAAGATGCCTCCCCAACCAGAGGGACTGTGAAAAGTGTCAACTTCAAAGGCATTACTGAGTCATCCTGTTAAGGCTGAAATAAAAGCTTTATGTAAAAAGTTAACATATTGGTAAAATCCAATGCTTGAGAAAAGATGAAACAGGATTTGATTGGCAGTTGGATGTGTCTGGCAGCTCAAAGAGATTTTAAAGGACTAATCTTAAAAGTAAGTCTTTAAAACTGGTCTGCGCGAAAGCTCTGAGAGCCAAATGAGTGCAGGCACCGCACAAAATGCAGTTTGATGCAACTGCAATATGCATCTGAAATCAACGTTACTAAGGCTGTGGCTAATCACAACTGCCCACAGGACCTGCCTAATAACTGCACACTTATGAGACAGGGTTTAGAGCAGGGGTCTCAAAGTACCAGCCCAGCTTCATACAGCCCATTACATATTTGCAATTTATCCTTAAATCTTGCAAATCTTTTTATTTTTCTGTGGCTAAATTTTACATTAAAGGGCTAAATCTGCTTCTCCAGCCAGATACTGTGACTGGTTAACCGACATAAGCTACATAAAATCAGCTAAGACTGATGAGAGAGGAGGGGGACCATTCAAACGAAAACCTGAAGGAGCATAAGCACTGCACATTGAGCAGGCATAGCTGTAATTTACCTATAATTAGCTTAGTTCCTATACACATTTAGACGGATAGTTAGTTAAAACTGCCTTTGCGGATTCATTCCTGACACAGCAGTAGACGCAGAGCATGGAGTACATTTTTTCCTTCCATTTTTCAGTTGGCCCCTTTGAAATAGACCACCTGGGTAGTGGGCCCCAGGTAATTTGAGTATGAGACCCCTGGCTTAGAGCTTGCGCTTGCTCACGTCAGGTTCAGTAAGGTCCAGATAGGTTTGGACGACATTTTCTAAGGTCAGGTTTAAATTTCACTTTACATTTTTAACAGATTTTATCCAGCATTTTGCTGCTTTTCTCCTCACTTTATTCTTCGTTACCTTCAAAAAGTTTTTAGTCTGACCTGCTGGGGTCAGCCACTTAAGTAATTAGCCTAAAGTATATTTCCCTAATATGTTCTAAGTGAAGAAATAGAGTAAGGCAGAAAAGAGTAGGAAAGATGTTTAAACATTTAATTTGGCCATTATTTAGTTCACCCTGACTATTTACCTCACTCTCTTAAGTGAATGCAGTGCATCATTAACATCGCCATCAGCTCGGACATTCACAGCCTACAGTCAACTTCACTGCATGAAATCAAACTTTTTTCTTTGGTAAAATTTAAATGTTGTACACGGGAGACAGGACAGTAACATTATATATGAAGCCTCCTATTCACCAGCTTCTTGTTCAGTTCTTCTAAATGGTACAGCAGTTACATTCGGGCGCCTCACGCGTTGTAATAATTTGAAAAGAATTAGAAGAAGCTGGCGAAGAAGAAGATGACTTCAGCATCACCAGAGAACACAAGTAAATGCTTCTTAAGAAACTCTGTTTCCACAGGATATGATAGCGTTTTTACCGACAAGTCGATTCGCACAGGATTAATATGAGGTTATTTTTAAGGCTCGGTTTACAGAAGATCTTTACTGATTCGGGGAGCACACAGTCTGTAAAAATGTCTGAATCACAGTGAAATGCAGGTAAAATTACATTGCCCCGCCTCTGCATGTAAAACTAATCCCATCTGAATGGGGCTAGAAAGTCTCGTTCTCTCTGGGTGGGTGGGTAGGGCACAGTTGTGTTGGTCATCCTCCAGTCCTTCATCAGTGGTCACAGGACGCTGCCCACAGGATGCTGTTGGCTGGATATTTTTGGTTGGTGGACTATTCTCAGTCCAGCAGTGACTCTGAGGCGTTTAAAAACTCCAGCAGCACTGCTGTGTCTGATCCACTCAGACTAGCACAACACACACTAACACACCACCACCATGTCAGTGTTACTGCAGTGCTGAGAATGATCTACCACCCAAATAGTACCTGCTCTGTGAGGGTCCATGGGGGTCCTGACCACTGAAGAACAAGGTAAAAGGGGGCTGACAAAGTATGCAGAGAAACAGATGGACTACAGTCTGTAACTGTAGAACTACAAAGTGCACCTATGTAGTAAGTGGAGCTGATAAAATGGACAATGAGTGTAGAAACAAGGAGGTGGTCATAATGTTATGCCTGATCGGTGTAGCTAACAGATGGAAATGGATACGACTAAGGAAACTGAGGAAAAATACCAAAAAGCTTTATGATTGTTGTTTGAAAGCACTGCTTGATGTGTACACTTGTTAAAGCAGGATTTAAACTTAATTTTAGTATAGCGTTTTTCAGTTATCTGTGATCTAATGATAGCTATTATTGTTGGCGCATGGTGATGGCAATCCTGTCAGGTTTCTTCACCACTTTGGGTGATGATGAGTTAGTGTGGGTAAGTTTTGGACAGACCATTTGTTGTACTGATTATGTGATATGTGACAGGTCACGTCTGGACAGAATTTTGCCCGGCTCAGATCCGGATTCAAAACGCGAGACTGGGCTGTGTTCGGGTTCAGACCAAAATTTCAGACCAGATTAAAGCTAACAGGCTTTAAAAGGGGTCTCAAATCCCAAGACAAAACAGAACATGAAAAATGACATATTAGTATATGTAATCACACATCCAGTCCTTCATCTGGGCTGTCCGCCCACATTTGCATGATCCTTTATGCATATGCAGACACATTTTTCCATGCGCATGGCCTATAAAGTGGGCACTTTTTTAGATAACACGAGGGCAGAATGCGTCCAATTTGCACCTGAAACTGCTGCAAATGGCTTAGTGTAGCAGCCTGAGTGTATTCCCTGAACACTTTCGAGCAACATGAGAGAAAATGCATTGGTTTGTTTGCTTATTTGCCTTTAAATGAACTTTCTTAACCTGCCTCACAGTAAAAGCCATGCTGTGATCTTAAAATAAAGCCTACATTGCATTGGGAGAAATTAAGGCAGTGAGGTGGGTTGCCGATTTCATATATCAACAAATAAAAATTGATGTGGAAAATAATAATCAGTTCCGGGTGTATTTTGGAGCTGCACAGGGCTTCAGATCAGAGCGGCGCGTTGTGGTTATGGCGAAGCCTGTGGCACTGTTATCTGCATTTCCAGTGTGTTACAGCCTCATCGTCCCGAGATTGATTTCTCAGGCCTCGACAGAGAAAGCCACATGAATCATAGGCAATTACAGAGCGTCAGGATGAAACGGGGAAAGTAGGGATATCATAAATATTTATTTGTGCAAGGAGGGCTGGAATTTATGAAATTCTGCTCCAATCTGTGAAATTACATTTAAGTCTATTAAAGTTTCATTTGGCCAGTAAAATTCACAAAAATTCCCATCGTGAATTATTCATTCATGTGGTAAAGCGTGTTACAGAGACTGTTAGTTGCACGTCTTCGACTATAGCTGAATTATAGATTCTCAAACTTGAGTGAAAACTTGGATAATGAGGACCTGCAGGGATTATGCTCAATAAAACTCGTGCAGATATTAAAAACATAAACTTTTAGAAGTCAAACACCAACAGATGATGCAGTTTCCTCTACTGGGAGCCGTTCATTTAACAAAAACAAAGCCTTTCTAACTCTTGTAGCCTTACCTTTCTGGATTGTTCCTCCAACTCGTAATGGAATTTTATTGCCAACCGCATGAAATCAACATAAGCGAGAAGATCAATGAAAATGCAAATCCGGAGTGGGGCGAAAAAAGGCGTCCGGCAGAACAGAGCGCCGCATGCTGCCTGTTTCACTCAGTCTGCTTTGATCATAGTGCACAGTGTATTTTCCTCTCGTCCTCACGCTCTCCCTCTCTGTCTCTCTTTCTCTTTGTGTGTCATGCAGGTCTATTGACATTCATGGGAACATTGCAGACCAGAAGTCATTCATCAAACACATCCTCTCATCCTGGAGCTAAAACAACTCGCGCCCCCCCTTCAGTCCCTCCCCAACCCAACCCAAACCGCACCACGGACCCCCCGCAACCTCCTCCCCCTCTTACAGGAGCCAGCACCATGGTCACGGACAGTCGAGAACTCTCTGAGGACATAATACGGAACGTCCCGTCTCTGTGGCGTTCGTCTCCTGGGTTACAATTAATAGGCCTGCGTCGAGGCAGAACTGTAAAACACATCCATGTCAGACTTGGAGCTTTGCATTCTTATGAAGCTCAGAGTGGATGGAAGCTTCGTAGTTTGAACTGCGAAGATGCCAAACAAGCTTGTGAAACCCAACAGTCGTGGATTATCCGAGCAGAACATGATCAAGCTTGGGATTCTGAAGAGTACAGAGCTCTGACAACCTGGATGATGCCTTTGTGATGTTTCTTCATCCCCAGAGTCAGTCTTTTCTTAAAAATGTAGACAGCATGCTTTGGACATGCGTCCTGATGAGGGTACAGTGACCACCCTGCAGTCCTGACGAATACAGACATTAAACCCCAAGGAGATTTGAACTGAAAATAGTGGACAAATCAGTACTGGACAATGTCAACAAATGGCTGGACTGAATGACCGCTTTGCCACTGAAAAAGAGGGATGAATCTATTTGATTCAAATGTGTACATCATTTCTACATGAATAAGACATACAGTACTGTGCAAAACTCAGAGACCACCCTATATTCATTTAATTTCCGTTTAAAACAGCCGTTAAGTACTCATGATTCATTTTTCGGAAGATATTTCTGAGATTAGATATAAGATAATCCACTTGCCTAAAGAAGAGAGGAAATCAAAGGAATATAAGTGAAAAAACAGGTGTTTAATCAAAAGTGATAGAAGATGCAGAGAAAATGAGATTCCTAATGACCATGCAAGACCTGGTAGACCAGGGGTGCCCATACTTTTGTGGCTTGAGATCTACTTTTTCCAGTGGACAGGTCATCGTGATCTACCTTTAAAAAAAAGGCTTTGAATCTTTTTTTATGCACTTCACTGGTCTATATTGATACTCAGCATTACAGGATAAATGACTAAAAATCACCCTAACCTTATTGTCAACCAGGTTTATGTAGTTTGAACAACTATTTTCTTCCTGAGTTTACTTTTAGCTGGGAATTCGTTGTCGTAGTTTCCGTGAGTAGCTCAAAAATGCCTCTCGACGTTCCCCTTGTTTGGAAGTGGGATGGCTATTTGGCAAATCAAGTAGATGGATTTGAAGTTTGACAAAAAATAGTCCTCCCTCAGCTCTGCATGGACGTTTTTGGTTTCTTTGTGTTCTGTCTCGCACTCATCCCACACTGAGTGTAGGTTACAAAAGAAAAACGTAAAAATGGCGCTACACAAAGTGGCCACTGATCAATGAAAACTTTCTTTATTGCTAGAGAGGCAAACTCACCGCAGTGCTTTAAGTAGCCGTGGTGTAGCTGTGGTAACAAGCAGTAATTTAAAGAGATAGTGGCCACATTTCATGTCAGCCAATCACGTTGACCTGTCCACCGCCAGAGGCAGTAGGAAAAGGTTGAAATTTGATAGCCTGTTTGAATGAGGCGCAATCTACCTACATGCACTGTGCAATCAACTGGTCAGTCGCGATCCACGTATTGGGCACCCCTGTGGTAGACCATCAAAACTGTCAGAAAAGCAGCACATAAAGCTTTCGTCTTTGAGAGAGAGGAGAAACTCAAGATGCTTCAGGTCTGAAAGAATACACAGGTGTTTCTCTCCATCCTTCCACTGTGAGAAGACAACTCAGCACTATGAGTCTGAAAGGATGTGAAGCTGTTAAGAAACCCTCACTGAGAAAAAGAAGAAGAATTTGCAAATCAAACAAAAAGCTGGTGGAGTTCTCAGAACAATGGACTGACCACCCTAGAGTCCAGACCTCAACATCATTAAATGTGTTTGGGAATATTTGGATGGTGAGAAGCAAAACATGCAACCAACTTCTAAGACTGAACTTGAAGGTGTGGAAAAATCTCCTTGTAGTTTTCTTGTAAAAACTGAAAGCAAGTCTCCTGAAAAGAACAGAAGGCAAAAATGAGTACAGCAAATACTGAAAACATGGATATTATTAGTAGTTTAGGCTTTGTGTAACTTTCTGTTTATATGCGTTCTGCTTTTTTCAGATACTGGAATATTAATAACTTGTATTTAATGTCTGTTTTGTCTGGAGATGAAATAAATGAAGGACAGTCTCTGATTTTTGCACAGTACTTTAACACAAAGTAAGCAAACCTGAAAGTACGAACTGTGATGCACATTCGAATCAACTAAATTCAATGACTTTTTTCAGCGTGGGCGATGTACACTTTATGACCTCTCTCCTGTTGTTGAAAATGGGAACTTTTTGATCGTGTCGATGATCCTCTCTGGCATTTTCAAGTGTAAAAGACGCTACCCGGCTGTCTCCTGCTTTCCTGGGTCCCTTTCACTCTTTGCTTTCGAGTGTCTGTCTCCATAGGATGCAGTATATTGTTTGTATGAATACTCTATTTTGGCTGTGAGTCCATATGCAGTGACACTTGAGATGACGTTTAGCGATAGATAGGATATAAAGGATGCGTGTATGTACGCGGGCGCGTTGTTAAGCCACATGTGACGGCGAGGTCAGATTGCATCAGCGTTCTGTTGTCCGAACATCTATTATTATGTAGATTTCGATGCCTCTGGCATCCAAGGAGCAAGAAACACTTACTTCTATTAGCTTTTTGTTAGCTCGGTGGCCAGGAGAGAGGATGAGATGCAAAAAAAACAAAACAGGAGCGTTGTATTTAAAAGCAAATCACATAATGGATGTAAGGATTGTACCCGGTAAGGACTAACAAGCATAGATAAAAGGCGAAAAAGAAAATGGCCACTTTCAGTGAACGGTAGGCTAGTAATTTATCAGTCTGGAGGGGTAGGCAGAGCTCCCTCGGTTGTGAATTTTAATGGTGTTTTATGGTTCCTAATAAAGTCTGTTATGCTTCTGGCAAATATGCGGAGCACAACATCCCTCGCTTCCAATTACTGCGAAACTCAAGGAGAGGCTTCAGCCATTCATCATGGTGCACTGTTACCCAGAAATAACAGGAGAGAATCTCTCTCTCTCACTCTCTCTCTCCCTCCCTCTCTCTCTCTCTCTCGCGCTGAATATTCTCCGGCCTTGTCTTGAGGCCCTGATACACTAAGGAGATGCGACAAGTCAATCTGTTCTTGTAACAGCATTAAAACCTCTGCAACAAAGAGGAAAAAAAACAACAGCAATTACGCGATTCTGATGTAAATTGTATTCTCCCTGTTTTTTCTTATTACCACAATAATATTACCCCATATGCTTCTGATAGAGGTCAATTCAAACATTCATTTGTCTGTTCAGTTAAACAGCCCACAGCTCATCCTCCAACATTCAGTTCAATTCAGTTTTATTTGCGTATCAGTTTATAGAGCAGACATTGTCACAGAGCAGCTTTCCAGGAATAGTGCAATTACAATAGAAAGAGGACGAGTTATATACTTCATTGATTCTACCACGTAAACTTGTCATTTTGCTGCCTAACTATGCCCAGTCTGTTCACAGCACAGCATCACCAGCAGAGCAGCAACCCCCTGGGGCAGTGGCTACCAGCCACCCCAATGCAAGTGAGATTAACTTGAAGATTTAATATAGGACTCCAGTGCGATTCCCCTCCGAATCAATCAAGCTTCGCTGCGTCCAAGCAAAACCACAGCACTGTACTCAGCCTTTTAAAGACGCAGCATCTTGCCATTCAGCATCCTAACTTATCATTTATCAATAGCGACAACTCTATTAAAGGCCCAAGAGACCGCAGTCCTGTTTTATTCTGACACCATCATCTATCCCCGTGTCATCTCGCTGTCATATTTATGTACATATTTACTCACTGTAAGCACAACTCGCAGTTATTGAATCAATAGAGCAGTAACATCAATCCAAGAGCGAGGCAAAGGGGTGCAGGTCCGATTATGGTGGGTTATGATCAGGCTGTAGCGGAGTACAAGTAATCAGTTTAGAATATCTCTCCTCTGAAAAGTAATAATACAGTCTTCAAAAAAAGATGAAGAAGTTTATTTGAAGGCTACCTACATAGGGACTACATAACAGCTGCATAAGCACTGAAGGACATATTTATGCAGCAATATTTGAGCATTTATGACCAGCTTATGCTAGAAAGAAGACGCAAGATGTGATGTTCTATAAAGTAAATGACATTGCTTTGACATAAGGGACCTTCATAACACTATTATGAAGCATCATTTTCATACTTCTGCATAAGTCAAAGTACAAAACCCTTCTGTCAATACTATGTCATTTTCTTCAGCTTATGGTATCTTGCAATTACTGGAATAAGCTGTTCATAAAGACTCAAGTTTTGCTTTATAAATACACTATTCAATGCTTATGCATGTGTTATGATGTCTTTATGTAAGTAGCCTTCATATTAACCATTACTAAAGTTTGTTAGTTATTTTGACATCATGCATATTTTGAATGAAGCATATTGCCTTTGTCAGAACAAAAGCTCATGTTTCCAAAATGGAAGCTTTATAGAACAATGCAAAAAAAACTTTTTAAATGTTAGTTAATGTAACATTTTCTTACTTTTGAACTGATTTCTATTGGTGCATACCTCTTGACATTTTCACACAATTTTAGGGCAACTGACATTTTCAAATGATGTAATATGTATATAAAATTAGTGACAAAAATGGAGAAACAAGGTTCTGAAAGCAGGGACACCGAGGAATCGGGGTATAACCTAACGCTCGTTGGTTTTTGCTTAATAATTTAAAACTACTTGATCAAATATTGACTTATCATTTTTATTTAAACAACAAATGCATCGCTGCTACAAATACAAACACACATTTTGTTTCCAGCACAGACGTTTATGAACATTTTAGCCAAAGTGGAGCATCATAACAGACAGAGTATTTGTAACAGTTGCTAAAAAGTTTGGTAAACTGATGCCAAAAACTGTTGATTCAATACAGTTCTATGCTGTTTGAACTGAACATGCTTTCCAAGCTAACTCCAAAATAAATTCCTCGAAATGTAATTAGTAAAAAGAGGCCATGTCAAATATAGCACATTTATTTTTGACTGCAAACTAGAACAGCAAATATCAGCTCAATGAAATTTAAAATTGACATATTTTTCATTCACATAACATCTATAATGCATAAAGACGTCACTGTTTTGAATTTATGCGGAGGTACACGCACTTCTCTCTGCATTAAAACTAACTCCGCCATGTGGAGGCTGCACTTCAGGCTGGCTAGCTCTCACTGTGAGTTGACTACATGCCGTATTACAACCAATAAGAAGGTGATTAACATATGTGTGCACTCTGTGACTTATACGCACAAATCAGTAGTGGAAAAACATCTATGATAAAAAAAATTGAAAATTTGCAGATATTATTGTTATCAATATTATTATATGGGAAGACGAGAACATGACTAGCACCGTCTATTTGAACCTGTTTTACTCCATAATTTATTCATGTTACATTTTACCCTGTGCTAGTGTCCCGTTCTCCCCTACTGCGGAAGTGTGTCATGAATTTTAAACAGTTTTCACCCAATCATGATCTCTTTTAATTAGGTTACATCTTTTTTTCAAAAGCTTTTTTCAAAAGTACACTCAGACACCAGTTATTAGGGTCACCTACAGTGTACCTCGACATTGTACATGCATTGTCATGCAACTATCATATATGTGGTGATGGTCTTATGGTGGTCCTATGGGGTAGAGATGGATGATGAATAGGCTACAATCAGTAACTGTAAACCTTTAATGTGCACCAATATCATGTTTCTAATAAAATCTGGCAACCCAGTATATTCCTCCCAACCTCGGTTATAGTTAGTGTTTATACTTCGCTGCCTGAATTTTCAGTCAGTGCTGACCGCAGAGTGGGCTACTGCCTGCCGCATCGCGACGCTTAACACTTGCGCACTGAAAAGCGGGCTGTGTCATCCTCATGTATATTTCAGCAGGACGGAGGAAGCTGCCTCTTGAGGCATAAGCATGCTGTAGCTGCGAAAGGGCGGCGGTGGGGAAAGGGAGGGGGTTAGGTCAGCCTGACACATGTAGTGGTTAGCAGGAGGACAGGGAGTGAGTCAGGATACACCACAGGCCTCACTGCTTAATCTCGCTCACCATTCAGGAGACTGGGCTTAATACCGTTTATCCCAGTTGCGGCCGTCCGACCATCCGCATCAGGCATTAAGTCCA